GGACTGTGCTGTGGGTGACTGTCCTTGGCTTTGCAGATGTCTGATTCCGAGGGGACTTGCTCTCTGTGGGTGACTGTCCTGGGCTGTGGGGACCATCCATGCTGTCTTAGCAGAGAGCAGCCACAGGCAGTGTGTGAGCACGTGGATGTGTGCCAGCTAAGTCTTATTTATGAAAACAAGCAGCAGCCGCAGGCCGTGTGTCGTCTGCTAACCTCTGTTCTAGATGATGTGAAATAAACTCTTCTGGAAAGTGGATAATCACGTCCTTAATTATGTTAAAACAAATATTGCTCTTTTTCACTTGCCTGAAACAAAGTGCCTATGCTGAGCAGGGCTTCTTGTGGAAAGATGGTCCTGGACCGAGGCAGAGGAGCGCGGGTGGTCGGGGTGAGCAGTCCACACCTGTTTTCAAGGTCACCTGTGGACAGGTTGCTGTGGTGGCCTCTTTGACTTGGACCCTGACTGTTTCTTGACAAGGGTGCTGAGCACTTCTCTGGATCCTAGTCTTCAGCTCAGTTACTCGTCCAGGATTTCTGGGTGGAAATGCTTTTTGTTTCCTTAGCCTAAATATTGATCCAGTTCTGTAATCAGCGTTACAGCAGCGACATGGATCTCATCAGGAGCTCTGACGGAGTAGTGTGTGGCAAGGACCGTTGATCAGCTAAAGGCAGGTGCTTCGCTTCGTGGGAGAAGGGGAGCGGTCTCCTCTGTGTGATTCGGAGCCTCTAGAAGCCAGCTGGACGGTCAGCTGTGGGTTGGTTCTGACTCAGCAGCAGTGAGTTTGTTTTGATAAAATGGGTTCCATAAAGATGTGACTAGTTCTTGCAAATGCTGTTAAAAAATGGGGAGATGCTGCAGGCTGGTCATCTTTTGCTGGTTGGGGCCCTGGAGAGGCCTGGTTCTGGCCCCAGCACCAGAGTGCACATGCAGGTCCCTGACGTCCTCTGGGGGCGTGGGCGGAGAGGAAGTGGTCTTTGCACATGACATTGGCTGCTGTGTGGTGCAGCGTTCTGAGGTGGGCTTTCCCACAAAGGGTCATGACTCTGCAGCAGGATTTAGGAACCCTATAGCTGACTCAGTGGGGCTCAGGGCTCAGCAGACACTGCGGGGTTCCATCTTTCCTCCTTCCAGCCTCATTAGCTCTGCTTTTGTTGAGTTAGGTTAATACTTAATATGGACAAAGGATTCCTTAGCTCTTGTTCCAGAGAAGAGGGAAGAAATGACATCAGACCTTTTTGGAAGAAGAGATGGACGGATGGACAGAATGACTGATAGGTGGTAACTCCAGAATAAACCCGTTGGTGAAGTGAGTCTGATACCTCATGACCCTCCATCAGGGGTTGGAGGCTGTAAATCTTCACAGGAGAAGGCAGCCCGTCTTTTCCCTTGAGTAGCTGGTGGATTTGAACCATATATCTTTGGATTTTCAGCGCAGCTCTTTACCACTAAGCCACAGTAGCTCCCATTTTACTACATCACGGTTATTATGTGCTATTAAGCCAACCAACTCAGTCGGCTGGTCTTCAGAGGCAGTAAATTGCACAGGAGTTGGTTGTCCATCTTTCTCCCATGGAGCAGCTCGTGGATTTGAACCGCATGTCTTTGGATTATCAGCCCAGCTTCTTATGCCTTGGTCACCAGAGCTTCCTACTACGTCATTAGTAAATAGTTAATGGTGAAGTCTAGGTGGTTTATTTAAACTTTTTTATTTTTGGACATTTCATGATAAAAAAAAAAATCAGAAGCAGAAGAGAACTGACTTAACGGGGAAGAGGATATTTTGAGAGCAAGAAGAGTTTCTTTTGTCTTCTTCAACATTGAGTTTTCCTAAGAGTTTTCTAGTTGGATGAACAGGGGCCGTCCAGGAGTGCGACCCCGCAGTGCTCCTGCCCGGCGTGGAGGCCCAGCCTGGGGCTCCGCCCAGACTTCCCGGCAGGCCCTGCATCCACCCAGCTGTGGCTGGCCCTGGGCCCAGGCCTCAGATGGGAGAAGATACGGTGAATTCCACTTGGTCGTTTTCTTCCCTCACTGGATCAAGGCAGGTTGTACTGCCCACTTAGTCATCCTCTGGGTAAATTTCCACAAGTGATGATTAGAAACACACTTTGAGTTGGACTCATGAGAGCTCATCATATGAGCCAGTGGATGCTGGAATGGCCGAGGCGGGGGCCGGGGGAGGCAGAGTCGTGAGCAGCTGGGCAGGCTCTGCTTTTAGTTAGTGCAGGGGGAGGAGGGCGAGTCTGTGAAGGCCACTGTCTGGCCTTTGACCCCAGCCTTGGACGTTAACTTGTGTGTGGAGCAGGGCGGGATGCTGATGTTCTTACTCTGCTCAGTCCTATCCTGTCGGTCCTAACTCATTTCTTGGGGAAACTCCCTCGTCCTTCCAGGATGGACTGTTCTCCTAAGGTCTCTTTGTGATGGCTTTCATTGGGGGTATCCGGGAAGCCCTCAGGGTACCCAGGCCCAGAAAATTCATTGACAGTGGGGTATGAAGATGAACCTTATCCCCACATCTTTATAACCAAGGACAGATGGCAAATTTGTTTTTCACGGTTTGTTTCTGTGGCTCAGATGAAATTGCTTGCTGCTACCTCACCTCATCCTGTGTCGTGGTTCTGGCCCAGTCTGCTCCTCTTGGGTTTTTATTGAAAATATCCAGCCTGTCTTGCATGGCTATGCAGTTCAGGAGGGGCACTCAGGCCAGGTGGCCTCCTGGCGGACAGGTGTATGTGCTTCTGACAGTGAGAGTCCTTTCCCTCGCAGCTGGGGTGATGCGTTCTCCAGACAGAACCAAGAGCAGCTTCGCACCATCCACAGAACCGTTCCTGGGAGCGGCCTTGTGCTAAATGAGGAGCTGCCAGCACCCGCCCCCGCCATGTTTACCGTCCAGTTAGAAATGCCTCTACCAGGGAGCCCTCCAGATAGCTACAGGCAGCGTGGCCATTTGCTCAGCAAAAGAGAACAAGACCACTCACACTGATTTTAAGGTCAAATATGAGCAAGCACTGCAGTGGTAGTAGCTCTGAGATAAACATTTCCGTGGTTTTATTTATTTTTTTTTAAAGGCACTTTCTTGGATTATTTTAATAATTAAGATGCCTGACTAATCTGGAAGTGATGAGAAACAGCCGGGAAGGGTAGCGTTTACTTAACTAAGGGATTATCTGGTTTAGGAGTTTTTCCCCCTGCTGCTAGCTAGACAGTGTCTGATCCCTAAAAGGCCAGAGTGAAATAGGCAAAAGCAGACATCCCATACCCTCCGGAGGCCTTGTTGACGGTGGAGAGGGAGTTTATGGGTGTCATCAGTCCACGTGGCCTCTTGGGGCGCATCCTGACCCCCTTTAGTCCCTGCGGGGCCCATGGCTTAGTGTACGGAGGCCTGCTCATTGTCCTCCTGTGCTCGGCGTGGGCCAGCCTTGTGGTCACCCACGAGCGGGCAGCTAGATGCTTTGGTGGCTTATCTCAAGTGACTCCTCAGGAAGGAATGTCCGCTGAGATGGCGATCCCGATTTCTGTTTAAAAAGCTTATCCTCAGCTGCTGAGAAATGAAAAAGAAAATATTCTGTGTTTTGGTTGGAGCTGCACACGGCCAGCGCTGTGCATTCTCATGCTCCGGCCGCGGCCGTTCTCAGGCCCATGGCGCTATTTAGGGAGCGAGCTGCTCAGCTGGCCCTGCCTTGACCACACTGCTGTGCAGAGCCACGCACAGGCTGGAGGGGCTTGCACGTGGGAGAACACACGCCGCTCTGTCAGATAAAGACAGATGACAAAACCAGCCCAGCAGCCATATAGGAAAAGAACCCCCCTTGGAATGGGCTCCAGGATTTCTGTCCAAGTTTTACACTCGGCAATAGCTTACTGGAAAAGTGGGAAAACCAGAGAGGACATGGTGCTGGCTTGCGTCATGAGCCCGGCACCAGCAGGTGTGTCAGGAGGCCAGGGAGGAGAGTGAGAAGATGATTGTGTCCCCAGGTCACAGAGCAGCAATTGCCTGTAAACACGCCTCACTCCTAGCATCCTGCTGCACCTGGGAGCGGGCTAGAAATGCATCCTCGTGGGTCCCCCTGCCCCGATGAGGCCAAGGGTGCATTTTACATCACAGACAGGTCATTCGGTGCCACCCCCACCACCGAGCCACCCTCAGGCACAGTGGGGAGCTGGTGGGCTGTACAGGCTGATACCTGAAGCCTCGACTGTGTTCTTGTTTCAGCCACATCAGCAGTGATAGCTTCCTGTGTGACTGCCAGCTCACCTGGCTGCCCCCGTGGCTGGTGAGCAGGACTCTGCAGACCTCCGTGACTGCCACCTGTGCCCACCCCCAGTCCCTGAAGGGCCAGAGTATCTTCTCCGTGCCGCCAGAGAGCTTCGTGTGCGGTAAGACACCTCTGGGCCTTGTGCGATTGTTCTTCATCAGGGGCTGGTTGAGGGAGCGACTCCTGTGACCAGCCCGTGGTTATAAGTCAGCTGCTGTCCAGCTACAGCCACACGTGGTATTTACTGCACAGTCGCCTTGCTCTGTGGTTCTGGGCGTGCGTGCATCTGAGCAGGAGGGAGTGGGAGGAGCCATCAGTCAGGAGGATGCTCTGTTGTTTCAGCAGGACTCTGGTGCCGGGATTGAGCTGTGAATTCATGTAGCGTATGAGGCTGGGGTTTCTTTCCAGCCCCCACGATGAAAGGTTAAGTACAGGAAGAGCAAGTCTCTAGAGTGTAATTTAAACTCTAGTTAAAAAACATAAAAAATTTCCTTGCTGTTGACGTGAGCTCTTGCTATTTATGTAAACTGCCAAGCTGTGTTTGGAGCCCTCAAGCCCATGTTCCTTCAGGTTGTGGTAATGGAGCTCTTGGTCTCTTTGGATCAGAGGTGTGAGCGTCTAAGTTGGTTTGCAGAGAGCACAGAAGATGCTGAGCCCTCCCAACTTAGGTGTGGTGATTGATGTCCGCTTCTCAGGAAGCCGGGCTCGGAGACTCCGTTTCCTCCTGTCGTTTCCCTCTAAGCAGAACCTGGGCTGCTAGTCTCAGGCCTACTTGACCTGCTTGTCAGATTGGCGGTGCCCTGCTGGCTTTGCTGGCCTCAGGCTGGGGAGACCCCGACGCCTGACTTCTCCATTCTTAACGCCTTTTGGACATAGTGTCTATCACTGTGTCTGATGGAGTCTAGATGGCCCCCCCATCTCCGAACCAGCTTCCCAGCACCATTCCCACCGAGTGGTTTCCCTCCCTCCCTCCCAGCCCAGGGAGTATTCATAAAAACACCCCCAGTAGGGTTGTAGCTTCCCAAAATGAGGGTTCTTAAGGAGCCTGGATTCTGAAGCGTTTTCACCATCTTGCCAGGAATGAAGTATGGTCAGGCCAGATGTCACATACAGAGTTTTGAAACTATGATGAAATTCCCTGGGAAGAACAGAGTATGTCCTCCCCCCACACCACCCCCTGTACCCCCAGGACCAGCCAGGGCCCATACCTGGAAACAGGAAATAAGCTGGCATTGTGAGAGATGGCTTACAGATGGCAAAAAAAAAAAGGATGACTGGCTTGAGCTGGGTCTCTCAGGCTTCCTGGGGATTAGGTATTTTTAATAATAAATATTATTATAAATTATAGGGACATAGAGGCTGACTAGTTACTGGCCCCGGGCTGATTTGAGCAGGTACTTGGTGGCCCAGGAGTGTACAAACCCAGTAAGGGGACAGGTGGGAGAGTGGACTTAACCAGTTGCTCAAGAAGGAGAATGGACCTGTCTCCAGCTATGGCCGCAAAACTGGAATCAGACATCCGTGACATAGTCTGCACTAAGGCTGTGCCTGACTTCTGCTGTGTGGGCACAAACCCACTGCCAGGCCCACTGTTGCCCCATCCAGTGCAGCCTATGGTGACCCTTGTTGGCCAGTGTACATCCGCCTAGAGGGTTCCCAAGGCATAAGCCTCTAAGGAAGCTGTCCCATCTTTCTCCTATAGGGAAACAAGTGGGTCTGAACCAGCTTTTGATTGGTCATCAGGCAGATTCTGTCTGTAGGATGGAAATGGCAGTGTGATTCTTGTGCACCAAGGTACCTGTCCTTGTCCGGTACTGTCCATGTGAGCTCCCAGTTAAACTTCCTGACCCTTCTCTTTGGATGCACCAAGGTGGTTGGATGTGGGGGCAGGTGTTGGATGTTGGCACATTGTTGGATTCTGTATTAGATGCCAGAATATGGAAGTCTCTGGAGGTGGAGATTGGATTAATGGTTGCCTCTGCTGGGAAGGAGAGAGGGGAGGGGAGGAAGGGAAAAGGGTTTCTTTTTGAGATGATGGGATATCTTTAAAATGGACTATAGTGTTAGCTCCACTTAATCCATGAATATATAAAATTGATTGAATTTTATACTTTAAAGGATGAATTTTATGGTATATGAATTGTACCTCAATAAAACTCTTTTTAAAAAAAGGAAATACAGTTTTACATCCCATACAATTGACCCTTTTCAAGTCAAAATTGACTCATAGCTGACCCTTCAGCCAATTTTGAGAGGCTGTAAATTGCACGGGAGATGGTGGATTTGAGCCTTGTGCTTCTGAGTTAGGATCACAATTCCTTGTCACTAGGCCACCAGTACTGTAACCATTACATTTCTAATTTTGGAACCTTTGTATCACACACTGAAAGAAACCCATGCCCATTCATAGCCACTTCCTGTTAAGGATGTTGTTCCATCTTTAAGCTTGTAAATTGTTTTCAGTGGTATTTTATCATTTGCAGTGATGTGTCTTGCTTCCTTGCCCAGTTTTCCTGACTTGTTGGGCCTCTCGTACTGCAGCTGGACCTTCCATCAGTCTGTGGTCGTGGCAAGGGCAGCATCCTGCCTTGTTTCTGAGCTTAACGGAAAGCAACCACTCTTAGCATTAAGTGTGATGTTAGCTGTGGGCTTTTTGCTGATAAACCTTTCTGTTCCTAAATTTTTTGTATAATAGATACAGACAACACTGACACTAAAGTTAACTCCGCAATAAGGGATGTACCTTTAACTTGCTGGTCTGTCTAATACTTCTCTAAATCTGATCATTCACATTGAGACAGACTAGGAAGAAGGATTGGCCATCCACTTCTGAAATAGCAGGCCTCTGAAAACCC